TAAAAATTTTTTTATCCGAAAAAAGAATTTCCCGATATTTTTTTCCCGCGTACCGCTTCACCAAAGCGCGGCATCTCTTCAGTCTCAGATCCATTAGACGAGCATTCAAACGATGTCCTGTTTTTCTTCGATATGCCCGAAGCCCTAAGTCTTCATTTAACGCCGTGGTTCTGCTTAACCCCATCTGAAGGGCCAACAGTTTCTGCTTACGTTTGGGATTTCTTTGAATTCGCACCTTTACAGCTTTTATCACTGCTGGAGTCCTAACAAATCGAGGGCGACCACTTCTTGACCTGTCATCTACACTAGAGTCTTCATTGTATCGTTTGATGGTACGATAAACGAATCTTTTGGTTATATTCAAATTTTTCAGTATATCAAAAAATTTAATTGGCGCGTAATCGCAACTGCAACACGGTTTTTTTTAAGCGTCCACTCCATATGTAAAAATGAGTAAAATTCTAAAAAGTATACAGTTTTATTTTCATGAACAATTCGAATTCAATAAACTTTTTTGTGGCCAGCATTCTAAAAGAAGTTTTTACTGTGTGACAATACTTATGACCTGACTAGGTATATACGTTGGTACGTGGGTGTACTTGGGCAGTGTGTTAGCAGCATAAACATTATTTTCTAGAGTGGGGTGAATCTTTTTCAGATGTTGTTGTACATCTAGTGTATCCATGATATTACTGCTATTAGTAGATTACTACAGTACAATCTACTCAATGACTAACATAGGAATGATCAATTATGTGATTTCTAAATATTAAATTGCATTTTTTCTGTTATACAAAACGTATTTGAGTCATCAATACACTGAATTAAACGCAACACGAAGAATGTGAGATAAGGTTGTTGACGCATAAAGTTATTATCAATTCTACTGTAGAAATTCTTTAGATTAGAATTATTACTTACTGGTACTATATAAGACCAAGCAACTGCAGTCATGGAGTTAGTGTATGGTCGTTTGACCGCAGTGTATCTATCAATAATACATTTGCGTTACTTCAACGCATCAAAGGCCATAGATGTAAGTGTTTAATCTATTGACAAACTTACTTTTCTTTCTGTTATTTTTTTACGTGTGTATGATTTTGAACGACAGGCCTGTTGGTCTAGTGGTTAGTGACCCTGACTGTTATGCCGGAGGTCGTGGGTTCGATTCCCACCCAGGACAAATGTTTGTGTGATGAGCACGATCATTTGTTCTGTGTCTGGGTGTAATTTATCTATAATATTTATGTATTTAGAAATATATAAGTATGTTTATCAGTTGTCTAGTACCCATAACACAAGCTCTGCTTAGCTTGGGACTAGATGGCGTTGTGTGATAGTTGTGGAATATTATTATTATTATTATTTAGTGTTAACAAATTATATTTAAATATTTTGTGTGTGTACCCCCATGATTAAGCCGTGGTAGCTCAGATGGTTAGCGCAAGCTGTAAATTTTACAGTATGTAACGCGGGTTCGATCCCCGCCGACACCACTTAAATTGTTAATTGCAATTTTAAGTGCTGATTTACCACGTGCTCGGCGGTGAAGGAAAACATCGTGAGGAAACCTGCATGTCTGAGAAAATTTCGAAGGCATGTGAAGTTCGCCAACACGCATTGAGACCGCGCCGCGGACATTTCCTAGCCATAAATACAAAGACAATAGCAGAAAGTAAAAAGTTAAAAAATACTTTTTTTAACAATGACAGTCATTAGTTGATCATTAGTGAATGTGATTCTGTTTTCTTAAATTACAGGAAGAAAAGAGCAGAAGGAAGAAATGGGGTGATGGGAAGTAATGAGGAATGAATTGTTATGTGAAGTTTGTTGGAACAAATATATTGACGTGACAACGTCTTACAAATTGGTTTGCCGGGTGACACTTCAAGAAACTGCGTTACGCTCCGCTCACGTTATGCGCTCACAATGAGAGCGAGTGAGAGGCACGCATCCCTTCCACTCGGACATGGTTAGCCCGCCTAAGAGCGAGAGAGACAGACATAAAAAGTGAAAGGCACGCGTCCCTTCCACTCGAGCACAGTTAGCCCGCCTAAGAGCGAGAGAGACAGAGCGAGAGAGAGAGAGTGAGAGAGATAGGCATACACACCGGTTCATGTCTTGCGCTTCTATTTCGCTTAGGCGCCTGCATACAAGTTTACACGTTGTCAGTTAATTGTAAAACGATTGTGTAGTGATAATGTGAAGGTAGTTTCGTCCATCGCAACAATTCAAACAGCAAAGGTAAATAATTTCAGACTGATAATATAACATGATGAAATAAATGACTAAGACATAAGTGAATAGGTTATGTTGTAGTAATCACATTGTTGTGGTAGTTTTCAATCAAAAAAGTAGTATAAATCGTTTCTCAACCAATAATAATTTGTTTAACTTGAAAAAATGAGCGCGACTTGCTATGTAAAAAATTGAAATAACAATGTTTAACCTCCAACCTGTCAAATCGAAACTTTCAAACATTCAAACCGAGACGACTAATCACTGCGCAAGGTCGTAAGCGCGCGATTTACAAATTCAAAGATCAAATGTGAATTAGTTTTCTCCTTTTAGAAAATACACTTTGAATTAAAATCGATTGATATTAACAATTAATGTGATTTAAATAAATGTTCTAACTTTTAAATTTAGTTTTTATATTTATAACAATGTAAAACAAGTTAAATTTATTAATAACTTATAACAACTGATTGATTTAACATAAACCAATTTTGTGAATTCTCGAATTTGTTATTTATATTAATGAATTCTCGAATTTGTTATTTATATTAATAACTGTTTCAACAAAGTTCAATTTATGCAAAAATTTGAAATAAAAAATGAATTTAACATACACAAATTTTGTGAAATTTAAATTAATTATTTATATTAGTAACTTTTTAAAACTAAACCAACCAAATTGTGATCTTTTCTATGTTATAGAGAGTTTATCGTTATAAAGAATGATGTTATAAAGAGTTTACACTGTATTTGAAAACATTTAAAAATATGAGAAACAATAATTTCTAATTTGTTCAATTTTAGTACAATGGAGCCAGATGTACAAATTCCTTCAACGTCCAGTACACCGATGGAGACTGATGATATCGTGCCACCAACGTCTGCCATACCTTTCGCTGTGCCACACACACCCCATAACGCCAAAGCGCAACGACAAAGTATGTATAGAAAACGTAAGGCCGCGGAAAGAACTCCTGCAGAGGCAGCAGATTTTGCAAAAGCAGCCGCCGAAAGACAACGTAGATGCAAGCAACGTAGACTCGCCAACTCAGCTCTTGACACCGGCACACTAGAGTCAGCCACAGTGTCTGCTCCTGTGGTAGTGGAAAGAACAGTTACTGCCCAGACCAGCGCTCAGCGACAACGTGCTTACAGACAGCGTAGAGCTGCTCAAATTGTTTCACAAATAAGCACTCCACCGACTCACACAGCAGTGCAACCGGAACAATCAACCTGGAATATCAAATGGTCGTCGTCAATAAAGAGGTTTAAAACTACATTTCTGGACAACGAATTTGGCCACGCTTGCTCTGTTTGCGACCGATTGTGGTTCAAGAATGACCTTAAAATCATCACTGCTGCACAACTACAGGTCATATCGGATTGGTTCGTTAAGGAAAATAGGCAACTACGCGAGGAGGATTATACGCATATTTGCAACACCTGTAGATTTTCGCTAAACAAACATAAGCTTCCTACCCTTGCAAAAGTGAATGGCTTCTCATATCCAGAAATACCTCCTGGCTTACCGCCACTGGATCCAATTAGTGAACGATTAATCTCACCACGTCTGCCATTCATGCAAGTGCGTCGTCTGCGGCATGACTTCTCTTATGGAATTATTGGTGAAGTGATCAACGTTCCAGTCAACGTAGAAGACATGGTAAAATGCTTGCCCCGGCATTTAGATGAGGACGACGTGATTAATGTCAACATCAAACGGAATCTCGCACACAAAACAAATTACATCAGTGGCTACATGTCCAAAAGGACAATCAAAGAATGGTTGGATGTACTTCAAAATTCAAGTCTATATCGCTTGTACGATATCAAAGTAGATTTGTCAAGGCTGCAAACTGTCGTGCCACCAGAGGAAGATTTGCAGGATGACTCGGCTCATCGAATCGAAACAATCGCCGCCGAGTGTACTCCGGAGTCAGAAATTCTTGCTTCCAGGCAGCATACACTACTGTGGAACGAAGAGGATTGCCTCGACATCGCACCAGGACATCGGGCCATGCCTCTGAACATCATTTACGACCGTCATGCTGAAGAACTATCATTTCCTGCAATATACTACGGCCAGCCTCGTCGCTTCCACATGGGAGTTTCAGTGACACCTTACATGATGGCAACCAGTGAATTACGACGAAGTGACAGACGCGGAGCCACGCCTCAAAAAGTCTTGTACGTTGCTATGAAGATTCTACGTCTCCGCATGGTGGATGGCATTTACAGCACATTTCGGAATGTGTCAACCACAGAAAACGTAACTCGACGCATGTTGGAGGACCCGGAATTTCTTAAAGAATTTGTCGTTCAAAATCTTGCCTTCATGAAGTCAGTACCCAATTCCGTCCAGTATTGGGCCTCTCGCAAACGAGATCTGTTTGCGATGCTCCGTCAACTAGGTAAACCGACCATATTTCTCACTTTAAGTGCAAACGAAGTACGCTGGTTGATATTACTGAACTTACTCCTCAAATTGAGTAACAAGTATCCTGGAAAAGTCGCTGAAGATCTAAACACGTCAGAGCGGTGCAACTTAGTGAGCGACGATCCAGTTACGTGCTGCATATATTTCCACAAACTCGTCGGTACATTGATGAATATGCTGAAGGCAAAACAATCATATAATCCATTTGGCCAGTACTTTGTTAAAGATTATTTCTTTCGCATTGAGTTCCAGCATCGAGGAAGCCCCCCACGCACACATTTTGGTGTGGTTGAATAATGATCCACACGAGGCCGTGTCAGAAAATATGCCAATGACCATCGAGCTCGTGGAAAAGCTGAGTTCTGTCGCCAAAGAAGATATGCCCAACGAGACCATCTACGCCAATCAAATTCACAAGCACACTTTCACCTGCACGAAGCGAGGTGAGACGACTTGCAGATTTGGGATCCCGTACTGGCCAATGCCTGCTACTCGAGTCTTGGTTCCAATGCCTCAGACTGATGGACGCCGGTCAACATTCCAAAAAAAATCCAAGGAGCTACGAACGTGTCTCAGCGAACGTACATACCCTAGCATGAATGACTTTTTGAGGGAACATGGTCTGACATTTGATGCATATCTTGATATAGTACGTTCAACCCTTCGCAGGCCAACTTTGTTGTTTAAACGTAACTTCGATCAACTTATGACAAACACGTTCAACCCTTACCTTGCTGGTCAAATTAATTCCAACATCGATATTCAGTTTATCTTAGATGAATACAGCTGCGCACAGTACGTCGTGGAATACGTGAACAAATCAGCTCGTGAAATGGGTAACTTGAATCGAGAGTTGACTAAAATGATGGAAGAACATCCTGACCGCGATTACACTGGTCAATTAAAAGCATTGAGTGTCAAACTTCTCAATGCAGTTGAAATGTCGGCGCAAGAAGCAGCATGGTATTTGTTACGACAGCCGATGAGCGAAGCAAGCCGTCAAATTGTGTACATACCAACAGTGTGGCCCTCAGAGAGACAACGTTGCCACAAACGTCGGAAACAATTGGATCGCGAAGGAATCGCAGAGGACAGCACAGACGTGTGGACCAAAAACATCATTCAGCGGTATGAAGAAAGACCTCCATCTTTGCAAGATGTATATTTGGCCGAGTTTGCGTCGTGGTATGCTAACTCTCGTGATTTCATTGACAATGAAGACGACTTGAACGTGCATGAAGATGACGATCCTGAACCGCCGACTGGAGAAAGAACGACATCGAGAGGATATCGCAAACGTCTGATCGGTCGAATCATACGATACAGATGCTACGACATAGATGAAACTGTCAATTATCAACGTGAGATGGTACTGCTGTACTTGCCCTTTCGCAACGAAGTCGCTGACATTGTTGATTGTAATAAATTTATACAATTATTCAATGACAACAAGGAAACTATCATGGAACGCAGAAAACTTTATGAGAACAATATTGACATCGACAAAGTGATGCAAGAGCTAGAAGCAATGATGATTTTGCAAAATTCAGACACCACAGAACCAACGGAAACAGAGTCAAGAAGAGTGTTTGTAGAACAGTTGTTAGGAGGAGAGGGAGCTGAAAATAACGATGATGTTAATGAAATCGTGCCGCAAAACGGATTGTCAGTTGTAAAAAAACGGAGCAACGTGATGCCAAAACAACAATATTGTGAGCTGCTACGAACTACAAATGCTGAACAACGTGAGGTGGTTCTTGAGGCTATACATCGTTTACATGGCTGCGGAGATGAGCTCCTACAGGCTCTACAAATCTTCTTCACCGGACCAGCAGGATGTGGCAAAACGTATACATTGAAGGCCCTCATGGAAACGTACAATCGTTACACTCAGAACCACAACTCACTCAACAACGCCTACGTTGCTTGTGCAAGCACAGGTAAAGCAGCTGTACCTCTTGGTGGAACAACAGTTCACTCAGCATTTCGCCTAACAACTTCTCGAGTTACAAGACTTCTATCAGCTGAAAACTTGCAAGCCTATAGAAATATGTTCGTTGGCGTGAGAGCAGTTTTCATTGACGAGATCAGCATGTTGAGTGCAGCTATCCTCGGTAAAATCAATTATCGATTGCAACAGATAACCGGCATATACGACCAAGTTTTCGGAGGCCTTCACATCATCTTATGCGGCGATTTCAGACAGCTGCCGCCTGTACGCGCTACTCCGTGTTACACAGTGCCAATCAACCAACTCGGAGGACCTATACTGTGGCAAAGCATCGACTACTTCCCATTGGTCCGTGTTGTACGACAAACTGACGAGCTGTTTTCGAGAATTCTGACTAAAATTGGAGATGGACTTAAACTAAGTGTCAATAACATCAAACTTATAGAATCCAGACATAAGTCAGAGTCCTGGTGCAAAGAGAACGTACCTGACGCTGTTCGGTTGTTTTACAGTAACTTTGAGGTTGATTCATACAATCGAAAAGCAATTAACAACGCACACAACTGTATTGCCACTGATATCATGCTCGGATATTCCAGTAATTCTGAGAGGGGCCAACAGCAAGGAAAACTTCACAAGATGTCGGTTGCAGAGACAGACGGATTGCCTTACATGCTGCCCTTAGCAGTGGGATACCCTTACATGATAACGTCTAACATCAACGTAGGAGATGGATTGGTAAACGGCGCTATTGGAGTCTTGCGACACATCGAACGTCAGCCAGCCGATCCAGCCGAAGCAGGACCATCGACCAGCACGACGTCACCGCCCACAAAAGATGAAATTATCACTCTTTGGTTCGAGTTTCCAGACAAAAGTACGGGTGCCAATGCAAAACTCAAAAGTCGACCACATGTACTCAGCAAACCAAACACTTTGTCCGTTGATTGGGTGCCGGTGTACAAAAAAGTGGTCAACATCACATTGACAAAAACAGTGAAATGCAAACGCAAACAATTTCCTTGCGTACCTGCTTGTGCCATTACGATTCACAAATCACAAGGTGGGACGTTTGATGTAATCGTGTATAAGTACTCCTCCAAGCAACCACAACAATTAGTATATGTAGCCATGAGCCGCGTAACGAGTATCAACGGATTGTATATCATCACGGAGAAGGACTCTCCTTTGATTTTCAAACATGGGCGCGAAGGAAACGACTCACAAACTACACGAGATATTCGCACTGAATATATTCGACTCCAAGGACACACTTTGCAAACCACCACTAAAAAGGCAGTCAAATTCTGTGACGATGCTACCAGTGCTGGACAAACTATCGTGACGAACATCAATTGTCAAAGTTTGAGTGCTCATGCCACAGACATTGAAACAGATACAGTGATTCCAAGATCTGACTATTTAGTACTGACCGAAACGTGGATGCGCGACACTTGTGAACCACATCCAATCAAGAATTATGAGTGCATATCAAGGAAGAATAATCGAACAAACTCAGACACCAACGCAGCAGGTGGAGTAGCGATCTATCGTAGGTTATCATCAATATCAACAGGAAAAGTGATCGATGTTGCGGTCACAGACACTGCTCGAGTTATCAAAACCTGCGGTGACTTGTGCTTGGCTGAAGTTACTTGCTTTACCGCTGATACTACCTTCAAATTTGTGCTCGGTGCTGTTTATATTCATCCAGGATTAAGTGTACAAGACATCGGAATGTTGCTACACCAGGCACTTCTTCCATACGTGCATAACAGCCAGTACGTGCCACCGTTCCTGCAAGTTGATCCTAATATGCCGATTCTTCTATGCGGTGACTTCAACCAAAACGTGAAGTCTGATGACAAGTTTCTCAAATTCATTAAAGATACGTTTAATCTTGATTGCGTATCAGATATGTCTAAGTCTACTACGTTAAAAGGAACAACCATTGACTTGACATTTTCTAGGCACATTACAGCAGAAACACTTCCTTTCATTTCATATTTCTCCTATCATCGCCCTGTCCTCAACAAAATCACTCAGATAGGAACAAGTTAAGTTGTAGTAAACGCTGTTTCATTGTACGCAAATGTATTGCAAGTTATTGTATGTATATTTGTATATAAATACGTATGTATGTGTAAAGGTAAAAATAAAATTTTGTTAATATGAAATTCAGTGCGAGATTCTTTGTATAAATTAATGTTTTAAATATAATTCTTTGTATAAATAAATGTTTTAAATTGTTACTATTATTTCATCCTTCTTCCTACTATACGAATGAATATTCACATTAAAATTATTTTACCACTCAAAGTCGTTGTCACGTAAAACTTTCGCCCGTATACCGACTTTACAGGCAACCAATATTTTTTTTTTAGTCACGTGTAAATACTTTTAACATTTTGGTTCAAAATGACACAAAATCTAAAAAATGTTAGATACATCATCGACATGGACGGATTTTACATTACATATCCTCATAAACATTTTCAATGTAGAGAAATGGCTATTCTAGACGTAAAACTATCTAATAAAAATGATTCGTTTATCGATCATTATTTGTTTCAGCCAAGTTATCCTTTCAATTATTTGTCACCAAAAGACAAAAAACTGTTTGTTATTGTCAAATACACGTGCACGGCATTCCATATTTTGATGTGACCGAAGAATTAAAATGTGCCTACAAACAAGAGAACATCATTCCCATATTAAATTGGTATATTAGAAATTTGTGCAAAGACGAAGTGATCGCATACAAAGGTGGTTCAACAGAAAAACAATTTTTAAAAATGTTGACGACGAATGATAGAATTTTTAATATTGAAGAATACAAATTTCCAAAATACAATGATTTGGTAAATGTCATAAATTTTTTAGGATTGTGAGTCGACGAACGTCGTGCGCCAGAACTGGTACAACCTAACTACTGATGTTAACCTTTTTTATCTATTATCTTCAACGCCTGCTTCAACCTTAGTTACTTTCCCACTACGTGGAAAGAGGCAACTGTGATTGGTATTCCCAAGCCAGGCAAGCCTCTCAACCTCCCCTCCAGTCATCGCCCCATTAGCCTCCTCAAGGCAATGGGCAAGCTCTTCGAAAGAGTCATCCAAACTCGTATGAGGCGCTATCTGTTTCCCACAGACGGTGACCCTCTTATCATTCCCCATCAATTCGGTTTCCGAGCGCAACACTCATGTCCCCAAAAAGTTTTATCCTTGTCGTCATAAGACCATCGCGGTCTTTTTCGACATAGCTAAAGCCTTCGATAGGGTTTGGCATACAGGCCTTATCTACAAGCTGTACAAAATAGGTCTCCCCGACCGTCTAGTACGTCTCGTGGCTTCTTACTTAAAGCATCGTACCTTTCGTTTTAGACACGAAGACACGCTATCTTCACAGCGCCCTATCAAAGCTGGTGTCCCTCAGGGCTCAGTACTTGCTCCTCTGCTGTACATCCTGTTCACCAACGACATTCCCATCCCGTCGAAAGGTGTTCAGCTCTCCCTCTTCGCAGACGACACTGCTATCTACTGCAAAGGTATCTCGCTACCTTTCATACGGAACAAGGTTCAAAAGTCAGTTGACGACCTAGGAGCTTGGTTCAAAAAATGGCGCATCGATGTGAACCCGGAGAAGAGCTCCGCCGTTCACTTCGATTATAAACGACGCCGTCTCAAAAACACTCCACCAATACGTATGCTAGGGACCAATGTCCCCTGGCATACGACTGCCAAATATTTAGGTGTCACTCTAGACACAAGGCTCACTTTCAGGCCCCACGTCAAAAGAGTAACCTGTCACGCACGTTTTTACCTGAGTAGGCTCAACAGTATGTTGGGCCGACACAGTAAAATGTCCCTTAGAAACAAGCGTACCCTACATAAGGTCTGTATACGACCATTCATGTCCTACGCGGGCCCCGTTTTTGCCCACGCCGACCCTAAAATTATTAATGAACTCCAAATAGTTCAAAACCTTTTCTGTCGTCGAGCTGCGAACGTACCTTGGTACGTCTGTAATGCCGACCTTCATCGGGACCTAGAGCTCCCCACAATTCAACAATTTCTCAAAAAACTTTCTGAGAACTTCTTCAAAGCCTCAGAGTCGCACTCCAACCATTTAATTCGTGAGCCAGCTACTTACAGCCCCACCCCCCTCTCGCTATCGAGTCCGCAGGCCGAGAAACTCTCACTCGGACCCGCCTAATAAACTATCAAACGACCTGAACTGCCTCCTGGCGGCTCAGGCCAACTCTAATTAAATTAAATTATTTTTTCACAATTAATTTGCCTTCGTAGGCACTCCCTCAGCGGCTCATAGCCGCCTGCGCCCTCTTTTCCCAAAAGAGGGTCGCTCACGATACGGCACAATAAAGCTTAATCAGCCAGTTGCCAGTCCCCAAAGGCGGTTTTTAGAGGGTATCACTTAGGTTCCCCGGTAGGATGTGAGTCCCTTATGTGGTATGCGTAATGCATTTTCCGCCTCCCTACGTATAGGGTAGCCCTTTAATTGCTTCGGGCGCAAAAAAATTTCAAACCCCTCTCGTAAAAAGTTTCACTTCAAAAATCATAAAACAATTGAAATAACACACAATATGAAATAAAATGTGTTCCATCAAAATCTTTGTCCAAAAATCAAGATGCGGTTCTAATTTTACTCATTCATAGTATCTTTAGCTTCTTTTTTGATATCTTTTTCTCTTTGGCTAATTGGTCTGAAACCTTCACGGCTTAAGTGTAGCAAATGTACCTCCCTTGTGTGCTGCTTGAGGTCGCTGGTTTTTCTGAACTTCATGTTGCATAAAGAGCAATCTGCTACGGTCTTCCTGTCTTGGTGTTCCAGCCACATGTGGTCCCGTTTGTCCTTGTAGCTACCGAACCTCTTCTCGCATATCAAACATGCAAAATACTCGCGCATGTGTTTGCGTTTTAAGTGTCTTTTCAACTTTGCTTCGGTAGAAAATGACATGTCACAGTGTAGGCAAGAGACGGGCGGGCGTGCTTCGTGCATCTGAAATGAAAGGCAGACATTAAGATACGTAGTTGTTTAACAATGTCTAGTTTTTTTTTTATTTCATACAATCCAGTGCTTGACCATAATCCCACGTGGTTATATGTGGTGTCGTAGCACTAGATTGTATATCACACTGTCTTAGCGTGATAAATCATTTTTGCCTTGAAGACGCCCAGAGAGTATTCGCACGGAAAGATAGACTCCGGCAAATTATTCCACTTTTTTGCTGTACGCATTACAAAAAACGAAGCAAACCGTTTGGTTCTAATGCGTGGAATATCGACAAAATTCCTGCGCATAAGTTCCAAAAAGGATAAGGGCGAAACACCGACAGCTTGTATATTTACATATTTCTTTAAAAAAAAGCCACACTAGTATTTTCTCCAGTATCGTGGAGCAGTTTACAAACATAAATTGCACAAGGACAAACATCGAGACCCGGAACAGTTATTTGTAGGCCTTGTGTGGCCGTATACTTGATACGTGCGCGATTTGAACCCGCGGCCCTCAGCGCGGCATCTTAAGGCGATACCTCTAGCGAACGACCTTGAGCGTTCGGTCAAATCAAATCAAATCTGCAAGACGCCACCTACTGCTACGAACGTAGTATTATTTTTTCAATGACAATGAACTATAAATGAAAAATAAATGTATTTTAATTTTCTTTATTCGGTATATTAGTTACATTATATTAGCAATATGTATTCTTATATATTATCTAATTAATAAAAATGACTATTTTGATTATTTTTAACTCTATACTATACTGCTAATATTGAATTAGCTTTTTATAGTGTAAATTACAATATTTGTCGAAATGTTAATTATGGATTCGAACTTTACATGCTAATGGTGCTTAATTTTTTGGTTATTTTTATTTACTTACATATTGAAAATATACTTGAATTATTATTTAATTATTTAATTATTAATTTTAATTTAATTATTATTATTATTATTTTATTTAGATACAGAATTTTAGGATATGTTTTACCTTGAGGTCAAATATAATTTTGAGGAGCAACAGTTATTACTAATCTTTTATCTGCTATTCCTTATTTAGGAACAATATTAGTAAATTGAGTTTGACGGAGATTTACTGTTTACAATGCTACATTTATTATTTTATTTACCTACTGGGTAGGTAATTATTAAAATAATAAATATAGCATTAGTAACTAAATACGAGTAGATATTTTTTACCCAATTACAATAACTAATGAGATATTGTGATTATTTGTGATTAGTAATACTGGGTGGGTATTAATAAATGGAACAAAATAAAATATAAAGTCAATTTTATTATCTTGAATGTAAGAAATTGATTACAAATTTTTTAACTTCCTTAAATTATAAACAAACAGCTGCAGCTATTAAATGAACTCATATGTGCATACATACGCCCATATATATAAGTGGTTATGTGTATATATATATATATATATATATATATATATATATATATATATATATATATATATATATAAAATAATGTACCCGGATGATCGAGCTTTGCTCGTTTTTTTTTTTTGAAATGAGATTTATAAATTACATACTGATGAAACTTAAATAATATTTTTTGATCTTATTGACAGAATAGAAAAAACTGAACTGATTATTTGAATAAAAAATCATGAGTGCAATTAGTTTTATTAAAATTTTCGTATTTTTAAAAATTACTAAAAAAAAGGGTTCGAAATAATAGATTTTCTTACAAAAGGGAACATGAAAAAAAAAAGGAAAAACAGCCGGATCAGAGCCACGACGCGAACCACGGAACTTCGAGCTCACGCCCGACCGACATACCACCTGAGCTATAACGATCGTTAGTGATTTGTCGAAATTTACCTTCTTATATTGTAGCAGTTTTTTTATTGCCTGAAAACACGGACAAAAGGACATTTTCTAAAAATAAATCCAAGCGTTCGTCGCTAAAATCGTTGGAGCCGTTTCCGAGATTCCGATTATATCCTGGGGGGGATCCATATAATTTTCTCATCTGGTTCGGTTCTATAAATATTTAAATATATAAAAATTAT